ACTTCAGGAATTCTGGGAATTGGAGTTTTCCCAAAAAAAAAAAAAAAACCCGGGAAAAAACGATCCAGGGAAAAGATTTTTTTTTATTAATTTAAAAGGATGAAAAAGGAGAGAAAATTCCATGAAAATTTTGGGAATTTTGGGGAAAAAAAAATTTAATTTTTATTTTTTTTTTTTTCTGGGAATTTTTAGGGAATGAGAAGGAAAAAAAAAATTGGGAAAATGTCCCCAAAATGAGGGAAAAATCCTGGAATTTTTAAGGGAAAATCCTGGAATTTTTAAGGGAAAATCCTGGAATTTTTAAGGGAAAATCTGGAAATTTTAAGTGAAATTTCCTCGAATTTTTAAGGGAAAATCTGGAAATTTTAAGGGAAAAATCCTGTAATTTTTAAGGAAAATCCTGAAATTTTTAAGTGAAAATTCCTGGAATTTTTAAGGAAAAAATCCTGGAATTTTTAAGGGAAAATCCTGGAATTTTTAAAGGGAAAATTCCTGAAATTTTTAAGGGAAAATCCTGGAATTTTTAAAGGGAAAATCCTGGAATTTTAAAGTGAAAATTCCTGGAATTTTTAAGGAAAAATCTGGAATTTTTAAGGGAAAATTCCTCGAATTTTTAAGGAAAATCCTGGATTTTTTAAGGGAAAATCCTGGAATTTTTAAGGGAAAATTCCTCGAATTTTTAAGGGAAAATCCTGGATTTTTTAAGGGAAATTCCTGAAATTTTTAAGGGAAAATTCCTCGAATTTTTAAGGAAAAATCCTGGAATTTTTAAGGGAAAATTCCTGGAATTTTTAAGGAAAATTCCTGAAATTTTCAAGAGAAAAATTCCTGGAATTTTTAAGTGAAAAATCCTGGAATTTTTAAGGAAAATCCCTGAAATTTGAGATTCTCAAAATTAAGGAAAAATCCCCCTAAAAAAAGATCCCAAAATTAAAGGAAAATTCCCCAAAAAAATCCGGGAAAATTCCCACAAATTTGGGAGAATTCGCCCCAAAAATTCGGGAAATTGATCCCAAAATTCGGGAAAATCCCAAATTCAGGCGGAAAAATCCGATTTTGGGGGTTTTGACCACCAAAAAATGGGATTTTGGGGATTTTTGGGAATTTTTGGGTGGATTTTGGGAACTTTGGGGATTTTTTAGGAATTTTTTGGGTTTTTTTTAGGATTTTTTGGGGGTTTTTGGGTGGATTTTGGGATTTTTTTGGATTTTTTTGGGTGGATTTTGGGGTTCTTTTGGAATTTTTTTGTGGATTTTGGGGTTTTTTGGGAATTTTTGGGTGGATTTTGGGAATTTTTTGGAATTTTTGGGTGGATTTTGGGGTTTTTTGGGTGGATTTTGGGAATTTTTGGGGATTTTTGGGGAATTTTTGGGGGTTTTTTTGGAATTTTTGGGGGTTTTTTTTGTGAATTTTGGTTTTTTTGGGAATTTTTGGGAATTTTTTGGGTGGATTTTGGGAATTTTTTGGGAATTTTTTTGAGTTTTTTGTGAATTTTGGGGTTTTTTGGGAATTTTTGGGTGGATTTGGGATTTTTTTTGTTTTTTGGGTATTTTGGGGTGGATTTTGGGGCATTTTTGGGTCATTTTAAGGCATTTTTGGGTCAATTTCAGGAGTTTTTGGGGCATATTCTGGTGGTTTTTAGCATTTTTTGGTGTTTTTTGTGTTTTTGGGTCATTTTAAGGCATTTTTGAGGCATTTTCTGGTGTTTTTGGGACTTCTTTTGACATTTTTAAGAGTTTTTGGGGCATTTTAAGGCATTTTTTGCTGTTTTTGGGTCATTTAAGGCATTTTTAGGTCATTTAAGGCATTTTTGGGTCATTTTTTGGTGTTTTTGGGTCATTTCAAGGTGGTTTTTGGGCCATTTTAAGGCATTTTTGGGGTATTTTGGGGCATTTTTGGGTCACTTTTGGTGTTTTTAGGTCATTTTTTGGTGTTTTTGGGTCATTTTCAGGCATTTTTGGGTCTTTTTTGTGGTTTTGGGTCATTATTTGTGTTTTTAGGTAATTTTTTTTGTATTTTTAGGTCATTTTTTGGTGTTTTTGGGGTATTTTGGGTCATTTTTGATGGATTTTTTTGTGGGTTTGGGTCATTTTTTGTGGTTTTGGGTCATTTTCGGGTGTTTTTGAATCATTTTTTGGTGTTTTTGGGGTATTTTGGGGCCATTTTTGGGTGTTTTGGGGTATTTTGGGTCATTTTTGATGGATTTTTTTGTGGTTTTGGGTCATTTTTTGCGTTTTTGGGTCATTTTTGGGTCATTTTCGGGTGTTTTTGAGCCATTTTTGGGTGTTTTTGGGGTATTTTGGGCCAATTTTGATGTTTTTTTGGTGTTTTGGGGTCATTTTCGGGTGTTTTTGGGTCATTTTCGGGTGTTTTTGGGTCATTTTCGGGTGTTTTTGGGGTCATTTTCGGGTGTTTTTGGGTCATTTTCGGGTGTTTTTGGGTCATTTTCGGGTGTTTTTGGGTCATTTTCGGGTGTTTTGGGGTCATTTTCGGGTGTTTTTGGGGTCATTTTCGGGTGTTTCTGGGTCATTTCCGGGTGTTTTTGGGTCATTTTCGGGTGGTTTTGGGTCATTTTTGGGTGTTTTTAGGTCATTTTTTGGGGTTTTGGAGTCATTTTCGGGTGTTTTTGGGGTCATTTTCGGGTGTTTTTGTGTCATTTTCGGGTGTTTTTAGATCATTTTTTGGTGTTTTTGTGTCATTTTCGGGTGTTTTTGGGTCATTTTTTGGTGTTTTGGGGTCATTTTCGGGTGTTTTGGGGTCATTTTCGGGTGTTTTTGTGTCATTTTCGGGTGTTTTGGGGTCATTTTCGGGTGTTTTTGGGTCGTTTTCGGGTGTTTTTGGGGTGTCTCAGAACCCCAGGGGGGTTGGCACCACCACCCCCCCGTTCTCCACCAAGGCTCCTGAAAGTTCCCGAAAGTTCCGGAAGCTTCGGCTCGGGAGCTGCCGCAGCGACCCCAGGACGCGCCCGTGGGCCTGGGGAGGGGAGGGGAAAACCAACCAAAATCAGCTCCAAATCAGCCCCAAATCAGCCCAAAATTATCCCAGAATTATCCCAAAATTATCCCCAAATCAGCCCCAAATCAGCTCAAAATTAGCCCAAAATTAGCCCAAAATTATCCCCAAATCAGCCCCAAATCATCTCAAAATTATCCCAAAATTAGCCCAGAATTATCCCAGAATTATCCCCAAATTAGCCCAAAATTAATCCTTAAAATATCCCAAAATTATCCCAAAATTATCCCAAAATTATCCCCAAATCAGCCCCAAATCAGCTCAAAATTATCCCAGAATTATCCCAAAATCATCCCAAAATCAGCTCAAAATTATCCCAAAATCAGCTCAAAATTAGCCCAGAATTATCCCAGAATTATCCCAAAATTATCCCAAAATCAGCCCCAAATCAGCTCAAAATTAGCCCAAAATTATCCCAAAATTAGCCCAGAATTATCCCAAAAATATCCCAAAAATATCCCAAAATCAGCTCAAAATTATCCAAAAATTCCTCCCAAATTGGCCCAAAATGACCCCAAATTCATCCTTAAAATATCCCAAAATTATCCCAAAAATATCCTGGAATTTTCCCCAAATTATCCCAAAATTAATCCTTAAAATATTCCAAAATTATCCCAAAATTATCCCAAAATTATCCCAAAAAATCCCCCCAAAATCCCAAAATTATCCCCAAATTAATCCTTAAAATATCCCAAAATTATCCCAAAAATCCCCAAAATTCCCCAAAAATCCCCCAAAAATTCCCCCAAAAATCCCCCAAAATCCCCCAAAATTCCCCAAAAAATCCCAAAAAATTCCCAAAAATCCCCCCAAAATCCCCAAATTAATCCTTAAAATATCCCAAAATTATCCCAAAATTATTCCCAAATTATCCCAAAATTATCCCAAAAAATCCCCAAAAAATCCAAAAAAATCCCCAAAAATTCCCCAAAAATCCCCCCAAAAAATCCCCCAAAAAATCCCCAAAAATCCCCCCAAAAAAATCCCCAAAAAAACCCAAAAAATCCCCAAAAATCCCCCCCAAAAAATCCCCAAAAAAACCCAAAAAATCCCCCCAAAAATTCCCAAAAACTCAAAAAAAATTCCCAAAAAAATCCCCAAAATATTCCCAAAATATTGCTAAAAAATTCCCAAAAAATCCCCCCAAAATCCTAAAAAATCCCCCCAAAATCCCCCCAAAATCCCCCCAAAAATCCCAAAAATTCCCCAAAAATTCCCCAAAAAATCCCCAAAAAATCCCCAAAAAATCCCCCAAAATCCCCCAATTCCCCGATTTTCCCCCAAAGCCCTCCCAGCATTCCCAGATTTCCCGGAATTCCCGGATTTTACCTCCTGGCACCAGCTGAGGGCGAGGAGCCGCTCGTGTTGGGCCGTGGGGAGCCCCGAACTCAACGACCTCGAGGCCCTGGAAGGGAGCGGGAATTGGGGGGAAATTCCCGGGAATTGGGGGGAAATTCCCGGGAAAATCCCAGAAAAATCCCGGGAAAATCCCAGAAAATTCCCGGGAAAATCCCAGAAAAATCCATGGAAAAATTCCCATGAAAATCCATGGGAAATTCCCGGGAAAATCCATGGAAAATTCACGGGAATTGGGGGAAAATTCCCGGGAAAATCCAGGGGAAATTCCTGGGAAAATCCCAGAAAAATCCATGGAAAAATCCCGGACAAATCCATGGGAAATTCCCAGGAAAATTCCTGGAAAAATCCATGGAATTTCGGGAAAATCCCTGGAAAAATCCATGGGAAGTTCCCGGGAAAATCCCAGAAAAATCCCGGGAAAATCCCAGAAACATCCATGGAAAAATCCATGGAAAATTGACGGGAATTTGGGGAAAATTCCCGGGAAAATCCATGGGAAATTCCCGGGAAAATCCATGGGAAATTCACAGGAATTGGGGGAAAATTCCCGGGAAAATCCAGGGGAAAATCCTGGGAAAATCCATGGGAAATTCATGGGAAAATCCCAGAAAAATCCATGGAAAAATCCCCTGGAATTTGGGGAAAATCCCTGGAAAAATTCCGGAAAAATCCCGGAAAAATCCATGGAAAAATCCCCGTGAATTTGGGGAAAAATTCCCGGAAAAATCCATGGAAAATTCATGGGAATTTGGGGAAAATCCCTGGAAAAATCCATGGGAAATTCCCAGGAAAATCCATGGAAAATCACCGGGAATTTGGGAAATTCCCGGAAAAATCATGGAAAAATTCCCAGGAATTTGGGGAAAATTCCCCGAAAAATCCATGGAAAAATCCATGGGAAAACCCCCGGGAATTTGGGAATTTTGCTGGAATTTGGCTCCAAATTCAGCCCAAAAATCCTCCCAAAACCCAAAAATTCCCCCCAAACCTCCCCAAATCCCTCAAAGCTCCCCCAGAATTCCCAAAATTCCACCCAGAATTCCCAAAATTCCAGCAAGAATTCCCAAAAATCCAAAAAAAATCCCCCCAAAAAATCCCCAAAAATCCAAAAAAAATTAAAAAAAAATTTTAAAAATCCAAAAAAAAATCCCCAAAATTCCCAAAAAATCCCAAATTCCCCCAAATCCCTCAAAGCTCCCCCAGAATTCCCAAAATTCCACCCAGAATTCCCAAAATTCCCCAAAAAATCCCCCAAAAATCCCCAAAAATCCCCAAAAATCCCAAAAAAATTAAAAAAAAATCCAAAAAAAATAAAAAAAAAAATCCCAAAAAATCCCAAAAAATTCCCAAAAATCCCAAATCCCTCCAAGCTCCCCCAGAATTCCCCAAATTCCACCCAGAATTCCCAAAAATCAAAAAAAATCCCCCCAAAATCCCCCCAAAATCCCAAAAAAATGCAAAAAAATTAAAAAAAAAATTAAAAAAAAATAAAAAAAAAATCCCAAAAATTCCCCAAAAATTCCCAAAAATCCCAAATCCCTCCAACCTCCCCCAGAATTCCCAAAATTCCCCAAATTCCGGGAATTCTCCCCCAAATTTACCGGGATAAAACCACGACCATGGCGTAGATGTCGATGGCGGCGTCGGCCACGCGCATCAGGGCGAATTGTTCCCCTGATTTTTTTTTGGGGGGGAATTTTGGGGTTTCAGGAACCTCAAAATCCCCCAGAAACCCCAAAAATCGAATTTTTCGTCCCAAAAAACCCCAGGAACCCCAAAATTCCCAAAAAATTTGGGTTAAAAACGGGAAAAAATGGAAAATTCCACCTCAAAATCCCAATTTTTTGCCCCAAATCCTCCCAAAATTCAACCCAAGAAGCCCCAAAATCCAATTTTTTATCCCCAAAATCGGATTTTTCATCCCAAAAAACCCCAGGAACCCCAAAATTCCCCAAAAATTTGGGTTAAAAACGACCAAAAATGGAAAATTCCACCTCAAAATCCCAATTTTTTGCCCCAAATCCCCCAAAATTCAACCCAAGAAGCCCCAAAATCCAATTTTTTATCCCCAAAATCCATCCCAGGAACCCCAAAATCGAATTTTTCATCCCAAAAAACCCCAGAAACCCCAAAATTCCCCAAAAATTTGGGTTAAAAACGACCAAAAATGGAAAATTCCACCTCAAAATCCCAATTTTTTGCCCCAAATCCCCCAAAATCCAATTTTTTAACCCCAAAAAATCCTCAGGAACCCCAAAATTGAATTTTTCACCCCAAAAATCCCAAAAACCCCAAAATTCCCAAAAAATTCCGCCTGAATTTACCCAAAATCCCCCAAAATTCACCCAAAAAAAAATTCTCAAATTTTGGGTAAAAATGGGAAAATTTTGGTTAAAATTTAATTCAGAATTCCCAAAAATTCCAGGAAAAATTTGGGAATTTTTGGGATTTTCCAACTTTTCCCTTTGGGGAGGGAAAATTGAATTTTTATCCTCAAAAAATGAGGAAAAAAATGAAAATTTCGTTAAAATTTGGGATTTTTTTGGGTTTTTTTGGCTTTTTCCAGGTCGGGATTTTTTGGGAATTGTTCTAAAATTTGGGAATTGTCCCAAAATTGGGGTTTTTTTCCCCAAAAAAATCCTCACCCACGATTTTTTTGCCGTGTTTGATCAGCAGAGCCTCGGTGGTTTCGGAGAAAAGTTCCAGGCATTGCATGGCCTGGAAAAAGAAGGAAAATCGGTGAAAAATGACCCAAAATCGGCTGAAATTGACCCAAAATCCGCCCCAAAATTGACCCAAAATCGGCTGAAATTGACCCAAAATCGGCCCCAAAATTGACCCAAAATCGGCTGAAATTGACCCAAAATCAGCCCCAAAATTGAACCAAAATTGACCCAAAATTGAACCAAAATTGACCCAAAATTGACCCAAAATTGACCCAAAATCAGCCCCAAAATTGAACCAAAATTGACCCAAAATCGGCTGAAATTGACCCAAAATCGGCCCCAAAATTGACCCAAAATTGAACCAAAATCAGCCAAAAATTGGCCCCAAAATCGGCTGAAATTGACCCAAAATCCGCCCCAAAATTGACCCAAAATTGACCCAAAAATCAGCTTTAAATTGGTCCAAAAATGGAAAAAATTGACCCAAAATCAGCCCCAAAATTGACCCAAAATTGACCCAAAAATTCAAAATTGAACCAAAATTGACCCAAAAATTGACCCAAAATCGGCCCCAAAATTGACCAAAAATCAGCCCCAAAATTGGCCCAAAAATGGAAAAAATTGACCCAAAATTGACCCAAAAATGGCTAAAATTGACCCAAAATTGACCCAAAATTGACCCAAAATTGACCCAAAATTGACCCAAAATTGACCCAAAATTGACTAAAAATCGGCCCCAAAATCAGCCAAAATTGACCCAAAAATGGCCAAAAATGACCCAAAAATGACCAAAAATGACCAAAATTGACCCAAAATAGACCCAAAAATGACCAAAATTGACCCAAAATGGCCCAAAATTGACCCAAAAATGACCAAAATTGTCCCAAACATGACCAAAATTGACCCAAAATTGGCCAATTTTGGGCTGATTTTGCTCCATTTTGCACCAATTTTGGGTCAATTTTGGCCGATTTTGGATCATTTTGGGTCAATTTTGGCCATTTTTGGGTCAATTTTGGGTCAATTTTGGCCAATTTTGGGTCAATTTTGGCCATTTTTGGGTCATTTTTGGGTCAATTTTGAGTCAATTTTGGGGCCATTTTGGCCATTTTTGGGTCAATTTTGGGTCATTTCTGGGTCAATTTTGGGTCAATTTTGGGTCAATTTTGGCCGATTTTGGGTCAATTTTGGGTTGAATTTGGGGTTTTTGGGTCGAATTTGGGGTTTTTTGGGACCCCGGATCCGATTTTGGGGTTTTTGGGGCTGATTTTTGTTGTTTTTGGGGTGAATTTGGGGGATTTTGGGTTCAATTTTGAATTTTTGGGAGTGAATTTTGGGATAAATTTTGTTATTTTTGGGATAAATTTGGGGATTTTTGGGATAAATTTTGTTATTTTTGGGTCGAATTTGGGGTTTTTTGGGTCAATTTTGGGGTTTTTTGGGTCAAATTTGGGGTTTTTTGGGTCGAATTTGGGGTTTTTTGGGTTCAATTTTGAATTTTTGGGGTGAATTTTGGGATGAATTTTGTTGTTTTTGGGGTGAATTTGGAGGATTTTGGCTCAGGACTCACCTGCTGAGCTCCGTCCTTCAGCTCGGGGTGCACCAGGTGCTGCAGGGAGAGCCCCGAGCCCAGCCCGGCTTTCCTGGGGGGAAAATCCCGGAAAATCCCGGAAAAACCCGGAAAATTCCGGAGAATTCCGGAAAATTCCGGGTCGGGGGAGGGAAAAAAGGGGATTTGGGGAGGAAAAATGGGATTTTTAGGGGAAAAAATTGAATTTTTGGGGGGAAAAATGGGATTTTTGGGGGGAAAATTGAATTTTTTTGGGGGAAAATTGGGAATTTTGAAAGGAAATTGGGAATTTTGGGGGAAAAAATGGGAATTTGGGGGGAAAAATTGGGATTTTTAGGGGGAAAATTGGGAATTTTGGGGGGAAAAAGGGGAATTTTGGGGGAAAATTGGGAATTTTGGGGGGGAAAATGGGAATTTTGGGGAGAAAATTGAATTTTTTGGGAGAAAATTGGGAATTTTAGGGAAGAAATTGGGAATTTTGGGGAGGAAATAAATGGGATTTTTGGGGATAAATTTGGGAATAAGTTTGGGATAAATCTGGGATAATTTAAGGTTAATTTTGGGATAAATTTGGGATAAATTCAGGATAAATTTGGGATAAATTCAGGATAAATTCAGGATAAATTCAGGATCATTTTGAGATAAAATTGGGATAAATTTGGGATAAATTCAGGATAAATTCAGGATAAGTTTGGGATATTTTGGGGATAAATTCAGGATAAATTCAGGATAAATTTGGGATAAATTCAGGAGAAATTCAGGATAAATTCAGGATTTTTTGGGGTAAATTTGGGATAAATTCAGGATAAATTTGGGAATATTTTGGGATAAATTTGGGAATGTTTTGGGATAAATTTGCGATATTTTGGGATAAAATTCAGGATAAATTTGGGATAAATTTGGGAATGTTTTGGGATAAATTTGGGAATGTGTTGGGATAAATTTGGGATAAATTCAGGATAAATCTGGGAATATTTTGGGATAAATTTGGGAATATTTTGGGATAAATTTGGGAATGTTTTGGGATAAATTTGCGATATTTTGGGATAAAATTGGGATAAATTTGGGATAAATTCAGGATAAATTCAGGATAAATTCGGGATAAATTTGGGATAAATTTGGGATAAATTTGGGATAAATTCAGGATAAATTCGGGATAAGTTTGGGATAAATTCAGGAGTTTGGGATAAATTCAGGAGAAATTCAGGATAAATTCAGGATTTTTTGGGGTAAATTTGGGATAAATTCAGGATAAATTTGGGAATATTTTGGGATAAATCTGGGAATATTTTGCGATAAATCTGGGAATGTTTTGGGATAAATTTGGGATATTTTGGGATAATTTTGGGAATGTTCTGGGATAATTTTGGGAATGTTTTGGGATAAATTTGGGATAAATTCAGGATAATTTGGGGATATTTTGGGATAAATTTGCGATATTTTGGGATTAAATTGGGATAATTTTGGGATAAATTCAGGATAATTTGGGAATATTTTGGGATAAATCTGGGAATGTTTTGGGATGTTTTGGGAATGTTTTGGGATAATTTTGGGATAAATTTGGGAATGTTCTGGGATGTTTTGGGAATGTTTTACCTGCGGATTCTCTTGGCCACCTCCCCCGTCAGGATCCCGACGTTGCCCAGGGGGTCCCTGAGAGCCGCCTGAACCCCCCGGAGCTGCAGCCCCAAAACCTGCGGGGGAAATTCCCAAAATTCCAGGAAAAATTCCCAAAAATCCCGGGAAAATCCTGGGATAAATCCCCCAAAACCTGCGGGGGAAATTCCCAAAATTCCGGGAAAAATTCCAGGAAAAATCCCCCAAAACCTGCGGGGGAAATTCCCAAAATTCCAGGAAAAATCCCCCAAAAATCCCGGGAAAAACACACCAAAAATCCTGGGAAAAATTCCCAAAAATTCCCAGTTCATCCAAGTCCCTCCCAGTCCCTCCCAGTTACTCCCAGTTTGTCCCAGCCCCTCCCAGTGACCCCAAATCCCCTCCCAATCCATTCCCAGTCTCTCCCAGTCCATCCCAGTTTGTTCCCAATCACTCCCAGTCCCTCCCACTCCATTCCCAGTCCATTCCAGTCCCTCCCAATCCCCTCCCAGTCCATCCCAGTCCATTCCCAGTTTGTCCCAGTTCCCTCCCAGTGACCCCAAATCCCATCCCCAGTCCATCCCAGTCTGTCCCAGTTTGTCCCAGTCCATTCCCAATGGTTCCCAGTCTGTCCCAGTCCCCCCAGTGCCCCCCAGTTGGTCCCAGTTGGTCCCAGTCCATTCCCAGTGACCCCAAATCCCCTTCCAGTCCATCCCAGTCCATCCCAGTTTGCCCCAGTGGCACCTGGCAGCCCTGCAGGGCCAGGAACAGCCTCAGGACGTCGTTGGCTCCCTCGAAAATGCGGAAAACTCTCAAATCCCGCAGGACGCGCTCGACACCCGGCTCCTGATCCCGGAAAAACCGGGAGTGAGACAAGAGCGGGAAAAACAGTGGGAAAAGAGCGGGAAAAGAGCAGGAAAAGAGCGGGAAAAGAGCGGGAAAAGAGCGGGAAACAGCGGGAAAAGAGCGGGAAAAGAGCAGGAAAAGAGCGGGAAAAGAGCGGGAAAAACAACGGGAAAACCGGGAGTGAGAAAAGAGCGGGAAAAGAGCGGGAAAAGAACGGGAAAAGAGCGGGAAAAGAGCGGGAAAAGAGCGGGAAAAGAGCGGGAAACAGCGGGAAAAGAGCGGGAAAAGAGCAGGAAAAGAGCGGGAAAAGAGCGGGAAAAGAGCGGGAAAAACTGGGAGTGAGACAGCGGGAAAAGAGCGGGAAAAGAGCAGGAAAAGAGCGGGAAAAGAGCGGGAAAAGAGCGGGAAAAGAGTGGGAAAAACAATGGGAAAACAATGGGAAACAGCGGGAAAAACTGGGAATGGGGCAGGGAAAAGAGCGGGAAAAATACCCAGGAAAAAGCGGGAATGGGATGGGAAATCCAGGAATGGGATGGGGAAAAGCGGGAAAAATTGGGAAAAATTGGGAAAAACTGGGAAAATCCAGGAAAAATTGGGAAAAACCGGGAATGGGATGGGGAAAACTGGGAAAACCTGGGAATGGGACCGGGAAAAATCAGGAAAATCTGGGAAAAAGCGGGAATGGGATGGGAAAAATTGGGGAAAACCAGGAAAAATTGGGAAAAATTGGGAAAAATTGGGAAAATCCGGGAATGGGATGGGAAAAAGCGGGAAAAGGCGGGAAAATCTGGGAATGGGATTTGGGTTCGGGTCTCACCTGCATGAATCCCATCCCCCCCATGACCTGGATGCACTCGTCAGCCACGGCCCAGGCGGCTTCCTGGAATTCCAGGGGAAATCCGGGAATTCCGGGGGAAATCCGGGAATTTTGGGGGGAAATTTGGGAATTTTGGGGGAAAAAATGGGAATTTTGGGGGAAAAAGGGAAAAATTTGGGTTAAAAACCGACCTGGGGAAGCTCAGAATTCCCAAAGTTTCCTCAAAGCCGAAAAATTCCTCCCAAAGTTCCCAAGAAATTCCCAAAATATCCAAAAAAATCCCCAAAAAATCCCCAAAAATTTCTAAAAAATTCCCAAAAAATCCCCAAAAATTCCAAAAAAATCCCCAAAAAAATCCCCCAAAAATCCCTAAAAATTCCCCAAAAATTCCCCAAAAAATCCCCAAAAATTCCAAAAAAATCCCCAAAAATTCCCCAAAAATCCCCAAAACATCCCCAAAAAATCCCCCAAAAATTTCTAAAAAATTCCCAAAAAATCCCAAAAAATTCCAAAAAATTCCCAAAAAAATCCAGAAAAATCCCAAAAAAACCCAAAAAAAATCCCAAAAATCCCAAAAAAATCCCAAAAAAAATCCAAAAAAATCCCCAAAAAATCCCAAAAATTCCCTAAAAATCCCCAAAAAAATCCCAAAAAAATCCAGAAAAATCCCCAAAAATCCCCAAAAAATCCCAAAAAATCCCAAAAAATCAAAAAAATCCCAGAATTCCCCCAAAAATCCAAAAAAAATCCCAAAAAATCCCAAAAAATCCCAAAAAATCCCAAAAAAATCCCCAAAAATCCCAAAAAAATCCCCAAAAAATCCCCAAAAATCCCCAAAAATCCCCAAAAATCCCCAGAATTCCCTCCCAGCCCCTCCCAAATTCCCGGAATTTTGGGAATCTCCTCACGGATCCGAAGATTTTGCTGATGGCCGCCTCCATCTGGAAGTCGGGATCGCCCCTGTCCATGTTGGCGCTGATCATGAAAGCCATGGACTGGAATTTCGGGAAGAAAAATCGGGAATTTGGGACATTCCCGGAATTCCGGGGCTTCCCCGCCGCCGTTCCAGGGGTTTCCCGTAAAAAAAACCCGGGATTTTGGCGGGAAACGCCTGAAATTCCCGGGAAATTTCACCCCCGAATGGAGCTGGGATGGGAATTCCCGAGGAAATTTGGGGATTTGAGGCGGTTCCCGAAAAATTCCGGAGTTTTTTTAGGGAGTTTTGGGGTGGATTTGGTGGAATTTCCCAAAAATTCCGTCAAATCTTCCCAAATTCCACCCAAAATTCCCAAAATTCCCCCAAAATTCCCCCTAAAA